AGGGGGCGGGGAAGGGGGGGTGCAGGCCGCGCCACCTGACCTCTGCCCTCAGGTGAGGTTGGCGGGACGTGCAGCTGGTGGGCGATGCAAAGCGCAGCGAGGATGTGTTCAAAACGAGGACACGCAGCGAGCAGTCAGGGACGCGGCAACAGCCACGCGTGGCGCCAGGTGGGGACTAGTCCAAGGGGCGCACGTCCTAAGTCGCACCCGTGCCCGACCCCTATGCCGTGCACCTGCAACTCGTATCCTACTGCATGTCCACTGTAATGGGAAAATGAGGTTTTTTTAAATGGAGGCACAAAATAATGATAAAATGACCCAGAGGGAGCGGTGGCTTCGAGCTGGGCGTACAGGAGGAGGCCCGGGAGACGGGCAGGGCGGAGCGAGCTCCCGGGCCGGAGCCGGCTGGGGCGCGTGGGGCGGGGGGCAGCGCCAGCTCCTCGCCGCCGTGGAGGGCGCGACTGCCCCGCTGGGAAGCCTGGCTCTTCCCAGAGCCAAACGAAGCCTCTGCGGCCCTTGCAGGGGCTCAGAAGGGCCCCTCCGAGCGGCAAGCGGAGTGACCTGGGAGGCAACCGAGGCCGGCGAAGTCAGGCGGCGACGGCCGGGACTGGCTTTGACCCGTGCGCTGGTGCTGACAACGTCCGGAGTCACTGGGGTACAGACGCGAAGCAGCCTGTTCCCCAGCCACAGCCTCCGACCCGCTCTGTGGAGTCGCCAGCCCCGCCCGTGGGCAGGACCTCGGGCGAAGCTCAGAGCATCGCAGCAAGGACGGGGCCCCCGAACCTCAGCCTCGCGGAGACTGCGGGCCCGCTCCTTCCGCGCCTGCGCGCTGGCCCGGGCACGGGCTTTGGGAAGAAGCCGGCACCTCTTTCTGTGTGCAGTCTTCCTCTCGGTCCGCCTTCCCTGTCCTCCCCTCTCCCGGCCAGGGAGCTGCGGAGGAAGAGTGGGCAGGAAGGCGAAGTGCTCGAGGGCGTGGTGCAGGCAATGCCTTCCACGTGGCGCGCCCGGTTGGCTCTCGTTAGGGCACAGGTGAGCTCCTTCTTCAGGGGGCGCCTTGGGGAACCAGGTGTAGGCAATGCTCGGCTGGACGTCTTCACGTTTGATATGATCTCCTCGGTTTGACCCCTGAGTCGCTGCCCACAATAGTCCAGCCCACAGCCCCTCACTGCTGGGGACCTCTGGCCTTGGCGGGTCATTTCCTTGGGCCTGGTACCTTTAGATAGTCTAGGCTCGACTTCCCTCCGGGGTACCCACCTGGCCCGCAGAAGATGCCACATCCTGGCCAGACCTCTTCCGGGCTCCGCCCTCCTCCCCCCACCCACTGCCACCCTCAGGATGGACCCCGGCCTCAGCTCTAGTCAAATAGAAGGGCACCGGTCCCTGTTCGCAAGTATCCCAGGCCCCCACACACTGCGGTACTCTCGGAGGTGATGCTGTTTCTGCCACTGAGAAGCACCTGGGGGTGGCATACCAGCCTCCCCTTCCCCGTAAGTACCCACGCCCAGTCTCAGAAAGGGGTTCTGTTGAGGCCCCCTTGTTCGGCTTGGGTGTGGGGGTCCCTCCCTTTCTCCTCTCGGGCCCCCTGGAGGGGTGGGGTACAGCACTGCACCCCCCCCAGAACCCTTTATTCTCAAGGACTCTCTTCAAATTTCAACATTCGATGAATAGAGGCTCCAGAAGGAGAGCCAGGTGACAGTCACCGGATCAGCTCATCTCTGTCACTCCGTCCTGTGTGGATGCATCTAGTGGCTCCTCTCCAGGACGTGAGGGGACCGCCTGAAGTCACCTTGCGGCTTTAGCCAAGATTCCCAAACCAGAGGAAACCCCACCTGATTTCCTGTTCTTTGAGGGGAACTTTACAGCAGTTTCCCAGTCTCGGCGCTGCTGACGTTTGGGGCCGACACCTCCGTGTGGGGGGGCGGGGTGGGGGGGAGGGGATTGCTGTCCAGCATCGCAGACATCTTGCGGCATCCCTGGCCTCCACGAGGCAGACCTCCACCGCCATACAATCTTCAGACTTTGCTACACCTTCCTGGGGCAGGAGGTGGGGGACACAGCAAAACTGCCCCAGGTGTGAACCGGTGCCTAGTACACAAATCATCGAAAGTGTTGAGCCAAGAAGTGACCTGGAACGAACTCGACGATCGTTTGGTTGGTTTCACTGAAGACATGAACAGGAGTCCTCGAGCCAGGACGTGTTTGCTGTGCGAACGAGGGGGGAAACCAGCTGATCCGAAACCGCTTCTTCCTGTCTCTCCAGGGAACACCCTCAGAGCCCCGCCCCCTCCCCACGCCGCCCAGGACCTTTGCTCCCGCCCCCGAGACCACAGAGATGGCATCGCCGCAGCAATGACACACCCCATGCTCCAGGCGATGCCCGTATCCCATCCATTATTTTATTATCCATTTGTTTGCTTTCCATGGCAAGTGAAAAAATCATTTAAACCAATTATATATGTACAGAGGCTGGGTGAGTTTTCCCAAGGACTTCCATAAAGGTCCCCAGCCCCTTAGATCACAAGGAAGGATGACCTTTAACATGTATGCAAAACACCTACGAGAGTCTCGTGTGTAGAAAGGTTTCTTTATTACAAGCGTCGCATCCGCGGACAGGACGGGGTAGGGTGGGAGGTGGGGAGACGTGCGCAGGGCGGGGCGTCCACGCACACCGGCCCAGGGCTCATCCCGGCGGGGGGCCGTGGCTGTGGCCTCAGGTGACCTGCAGCGGGGTCTCCAGCATCTCCATGAGGAAGGTGTCGATGGGCGTGTCCCCGATGAGCTTGAAGAAGAAGAGGTGCTCCAGGCATTTGAGGCCGATGGAGCGCAGGGCGGGCAGGCGCAGCAGCAGCTTGGCGAACCTGCGGGAGGCCCGGGAGGGGTGAGGCCCCAGGCGCATGCTCGGCGCTGGGCCAGCAGGCGGTGGGTCCCGACTCCGGACCATCTGTGATAGGAGAGAGCGCCCGGAGCGGACGAGGGAGTCCCCAAACCCTGAGGAGCTCTGGAAGCGGACTGCGGGGCTGATTACCTCTGAAAGGAGGCAGTCGGGCCCCGTGAACTCTTGATAACAAGGGTTCAGAGTGGAGTTTTAATTCTCCTTAGAAACATGTATGTGTCTATACTCAGGCCACGAGCTTTCAGGCAACGGGGCAATGGAAGGGAAGTAGAGTGGCGCCATCCCCAAAGGGAGGAATTCCTTCCATGCCAGAGAAATCTTAAGGTCACTACCAAGGCCAACGCAAACCCCCAAAACCTTTGGTTCTGAAACCTCCACGTGCATCTGGATGGCGCCGCAAAGCGGCAGCGAGGTGACCCGTGCGGCGGCCACCGTCCTGGCTGTGCCACGAAAGGCTTTTCTGGAACCAGGCAAAGGAAACGGCTGTTCTAAAAACTGCAACTTTAAACTGACGTTAACGCTGAAAATGTATTTTTACTCTAAAATGCCAGTTTCACAGCACGTAAAATGCCCACTACCTGGAATACGCCCCTGGGTTTAGAGCTACGGAAATAAACACAGCCATTCGTAGCCAGCCACCGGAAGGTCACAGCTGTCCTCGCTCCCACATGGGGAGCAGGGGGACTCGCGGGCTTCGAAGGCGCCTGATGTGGGTGAGGGGACCAGCCGCCGCCAGCTCTGTGTCCTCGAGTCCGGCCAGAGGAAGCCGAGCTCGGCCGTGACGTGCATTCTGAACAGCGTCCACCAGGCGGCAGCACTCCACCACACGAGCACGTCGCCCGGTGCCCAGGCCCCTCCGCTGGGGTCCGCAAACCCGGTGACTTCAGCACACTCACTTACGCGGTTGAGCCCCGTGACAGCCCTGCTGTAGCTGCTCGGCCTCGAGGTGGTCACCCTGCGTCCAGGCCCAGCTGGACGCACCCAAGGGACACGCAGGTGGCCCGACTTCTGCACCCCCTCCCTGAGCTCCCAGGCTCTGCCGCTGGCCAGGCACAGGTGCAGCCCTGTTCCCAGTGCCTGGAGGCAGCCTGGGTCCTGGCGGCCCCTTCCCAGAAAAACGGGCACGTCCCACCGTCTTAAAAGTGATAGTCGTTAAAAACAACTCACTTCTATACACACATACATTGATACAGGAGACTGGAAAGAAATGTACCCCAGGTTCACAACCAAAGCTTATTACCTGCTTTATGCCTTAAAAATATTTTCCCTATGTCCTCCCGAAGCAAGCTCTGCTTTTACTATGAGGAGAAAGAGGTTCGCCTGGGGTTTGTTTTGTTGTTGTTGTTGTTGTTTGGGTTGGTTTGCTTTACGGTAAACAGCACGACCTAGAGCCGACCCCAGGAGAAGACTGAGCATGGGCCTTCCTCTTCCCGACGCCCCCCACGCAGCGTGTGCTCAGAAGGTGCCCGGGAGCTGGGACCTGGGAGTCGGGGAGACGGGAGCCGAGAGACCCCCCGACCCAGGGGTTCCGTCAGCTCCCGGAGGCCAGGACGGCCAGGACGTCCAGCAAAACCCCTCTCCCCTCCTTCACTCATCTAGCTGATACACCCTTCAGTGGCCTTCCTGGCTGGCCAGGCCATGTGACCAAGTTCCCGCCCATGGACATGGGTGAAGGCAGGGGTGGGACTTCCCAGGTCAAGGTCCTGACCACAGAGACCCACCTCTTCTCCCTCCTTCACCTGGATGCAAAACCAGCATGGCTCTGGGACGCGGTGGAGCCCCAGGAAGGAAGGAGCCTGGGTCCCTGAGTGACAGCGTGGAGGAGAGTCCCCCTCGGAACTCGCCGCCCACCTGGACTCATTCGTAAACAAGAAATGGACCTCTGTGCTCCGCCACTGGCAGCTGCCAGTCTGTGCTCACAGCTCACTGTCCCCAGGGCACAGGTTGCTCACCCACTAACAAAGGACCAACACCCACTACTCAGATTCATTCGCGGCCTCCAGCAGAAAACAAAGCTCAGCCTCTTCTGGACAATTGATAGATACCGGCTTAACGGCCGAGCGGAAATTCAAGTTCACGGAGGAATCAAAGTCATCGGTGAGAACAGGGAGCCTATAAAACGAATCCTAAAAACGAAACTAATGTCTTTGAGCCAGTTTTTCCTAAGTTTAATTTTCAGTTTTCTGTGAGATTTGAGGGTCGTGTTCTCTCTCTTTAGCTCAGTTAGCATAGGGGGAAAGTTTTTGCTTAGCCATGTTTTGGGGAACCATCTGAGAAAAGCATTCCTTAGCGACCAGGGGTGCCCACGTCTGTCCACAGTTCATTGGTCTGAGAGCTTCTGATCTGTGTCTTCTTTTCAGACGAGGAGCCCAGACCCAGAGCCTCACCGAGCCCGCACGGGTAGCCGCCTGGGGCCAGCGGTCCCCTCTCCTGCCTACCAGAGCCTGCGCCTCCCTCTGCAGGAGCTTCCTGGGGCACGGCAGAGAGCACAGCCCTGGCCCCCCTGCCAGCTCCCCGCACACCAGCTCGGGGACCCCGGGCAAGTTCCTGGCCCTTCCTGAGCTCGCCGCCTCACCAGAAACTGGAGACAATGAGACCCACGTGCACATATCCATTCGCTCGTTTGTTCAACGTGCAGAGATGCAAACGACCTGTCAGGTGTGGCCTTAGTCTGTGCCCCTGGCGTGGGGAACCGTGACCAAGAGGGACGAAGCCTCTGGTTGGGCGGAGTCGAGCTGCCTTTGCTCGTCCTGAAGGTTAAGTGACCCTGGGAACAACCTCAGCGGTGGCCACCGCACACCGCCAGGCATTCGTCAAAGGCGCCTAAGAACAGCGGCCGCTGGCGCCTCCTTCCTTCCAGCCCTCACCTGCCCGGTTGCTCTGGGTACTTCTGCTTGGTGTAGGCCTCGAGGGTGGCGTAGACCTTCTCCCGCAGAGTCTCCACCTCAGAGGGGTTGGACAGACCCTTGGCATCTGCAGAAGACGGCCGAGTTAACCTCTGGTGCAACTGTCCACAGTAGCTGTCCCTGCGCACACCGGCCACCTCCCCTAGAGTTACGGAGACATACCGGATGGGGACACCTGTGAAACGCACACAGCTCATCTGGGGTCTGTGCCAATGCCCCCCAAAACTCTTGGGGCAAAGGTACCCACCGCTGACTCACACGGGCCATTCTAGAAATTGCACCTTTGCACAGTCATTAGGTGCCTACTATGTGCTAAGGGTGGACTGGGAGACGAGACAGGTAGACCCGTGTCCTGCATCAACCAGCCGACCGCGGTTTCAGGAGATGGGGCTCGTGTGTAAACGACTAAGTGGCTCCCTGGGCTCGTCTCCCCGACCCCAGCGGCGTGTGACGAAGCTGCTCGGTCCTCCCTCCTGACGCCCCCCTCCCCGGCCTCCAGGACACGTCGCTGGTCCCGCC